GTCAATGCTGCAGGAATTGTCCCCCAGGAGTCGCCTTGGGTGGACAGCACAGCTCCACCAGCTGAAGTTTGGATTTCCTTTTTCCTCTTCCCAGAATTCCTTTTACTCTAAAGAGGAAACTGCCCCATTCTCCTTAGTCTGTGCTGGAATCCCTCATGAAGTTTGGCTACACTTATCCACTGGGCTCAAGGGTCTTGGAGCAAGCTCCCACTGAGCCTGTTCCTGTGGCTGGTTTGGGACAAGACCAGAGAAAACTGGATGAGACCAGTGAAGTGAGGTTTCCTCTTTAATACCCATCTTGAAAAAGACTGTGGTGTAGATTCTCTGCTGTCTAACAAGGGCTGAGCATCCCCTTCCCCTCCCCAATGGAAGATTCATTTCTTTCATCCGTTTCATTTCTCATATTCACAGACCTTGCCAGGACCTCGATATATCTGGAAGCCTCTTCCCCTGTGTCAAACGTGGGTGGTACTGGGCAGCTGCTGGTGGGAACCAGCAGGAACACACACAAGGCTGCTGAGTCACAGAGCCTGATTTTCCTGGAGAATCAGACTAAACTCCCACCCACATCACTGTTCCCTCTGCCAGGGCAGAGCTGGGATGTGCCCTGGTCTCTGCTCCATCATCTCCTCTTTATCTTTCATTGCACAGAGCTGGGATCTATTCATTACAGAATGAGCCTCAATACTTACAAAGAGTGAAATTCTTGAGGCACAGGAGGTAAAATAACCATCACTCACACTGCCTGTTTGCCTTCTAATTGTCACTGACTTCTGCCTTTTCACATTCATGGTGCTTGAAAAGGGAAGAATAGATCTAGGCAATGTAATTTAATACACCAAACATACCAGCTTAATTGCAATCCCCATAAGCCAGACACACAAAACTCTAAACAAATTCGATTAATTTATTTCAATTTGCACAAGTCTTCCTCTCAGACTGTAATTAATGGAGGAAAAAAATAAAGGTAAACACAGCCCAGCTGAGAGAGCTGTCCTTGCTAAAAGTCACATTTTATTTTAATAATGCTGTATTTATATAAGTTCCACACCTTTAACAAGTTTCCCATTTCCTCGATATTTAATCAGTCCTGCAAATATTTTGCCTGGGCTCAAAAGGTTTTGTGAAATCAGGAATCAGAGGGGAGAGCCCGAATCACCAATGGGCACTTGGGATGGATGTGGCTGTGGGCAGAGACTCAGGGGTTAATCCCTGCTCCAGGTGCTCCCCGGGGGCTGAAAGGTGATCCTCAATCAAGTGGTGTGGCAGGCAGGCCCTCCTTACTGTCCCAAATCCAGAGCTTCCCAGTTGCAGGTTGGTAGTGTTTCTGGATCTGAGGGGCGTAAATGGCTTTGGAAAAGCCTTTGCAGAAAGGTTGTCATTGTAAATCAGAGTATTAATGGTGTGAATTACCAACCATCATGTTCAGGCAGCCCCACCTGATGCATCATCCCAGATCTCCTGCTCGGATCAGGGCTTGGCTTTGCACAGTTCCCATGTGCAGCACAGGCAGGGAATGCCAGAGCAGCACCTCCAAAATGCTCTGCACAGGAGACAAAGGCATTTGTCCAGCTGCCACTTGATCTCTGCCCTGGGTCACCTTCAGCACATGCCTGTGATCACCATGCTCTGCTCTGTACAGATTTCACCCCTCATGCAGCCTGCCCAGAGGGAGGGACAGCACAATCACAAGATCCCAAACATTGTCATGGTGTGATCTTTGGGGTTGTCCTGTGCCGGGCCAGGAGCTGGACTCAATGTTCCTCATGAGTCCCTTCCAACTCAGGATATTCAGTGTTTCTATGATTCTACCACTTCTCCAGGTGAATAGGCAGGTCCCACTCCAACTGCTCCAGCAGTCACCTTTTTTTTCATCACTTGTCATTTTCCAGCTTTGAATACATCCCGTGGGTGAGTTTCCTGAAAGAGATGGCACATCTGTCTTCACTGCTTTCCTTTGCTTTTTTCTTTTTCTTCTGAAAAAGCAGGAACAATACGACCCATCTTTCATTGCACCAACTGGCATCGCTAAAGGGTGGAAAAAATTAGGTGCTGGTTTTTTTTCCTTTTTCTTCCCACCTTCATTAACTTTAACATGTACTGTGCTCCTCTTCCAGCATGAACATAGCATTACTAGAGAAGAACATTTTAGCTGGAACAATCTTGTGTTGATTTTCTCCTCTCTCAAGTACCGGCTGGTCTAATTAGTTTGGAAATGCACCATTTGTTAAAGAAAGATGAGGCACAGTCTGACACCTGCTGTATTAATTATTTACCTCTTTATCTAATTGCTTGCCCACACTGTTAGGTGAGGGAAGTTGTCACCCATGTCTCCATGGGAAGGTGTTGAACAGAAAGGCAGGAAATGATGCTGCTGGGGAGGAGGTCACATTTTGAGGTGATGGAAGTGGAGCCAGTGCTAGCATTGGTTTACACCTCCCCACGGATGGAAAACCAGCTGCAGGATACATCCCATCACCCACAGAGGAAGGTTGGGTGGGGTGGGTAGCTGGCCCATTTGCAGAGTGACTACCAGGGACCTCGTTGTGTGACCCTGGGCAGCACATTTCCTCTTCCCACCCCACTTCCTGCCTGTAAAACCCAGAGTAGTGTTACATAAAGTCCAGAAATCATTACTAGATGTTGTTGGGATGCACAGGGGAGGAATTCAGGTCCTCAGGCAGCAGGTAAATCGCAGTGGCCTGGCAGCCAGGACCTCCTGTGCTGCAGGTGCCTGGTTCCTCCTGGGCCCTGACTGCCATCAGGAGCCCACACAGAGACAGACCCATCTGCCCCTGGCTCTGGTGCTGGTTTGGGGCTGAGACTGTCACATGCAGTCCCCTCTGCCACACAGACTTCTGTGGCAAGGCTGGGAGGGAGGCAGCATGGGAATTGCCAGGCCTTTGCTGACCCATCGCAGCTGATCAGTGAAACAGCTGCTCATGCCAGTGGGGCTGAGAGATGCCTGGGCTGCCTTCAGAAGGGGCCGTGGGATGCTGTTCTGTGCCAGCTGTGTGCTGGGACAAGGGGTTGCTTCACCTCCCACCTCCAAGCTGAGGCTGTGCCCAGCAGGATGGCTGGAATGTCACAGAATCACAGAATCACAGGCTTGGAAAAGGCCTTCAAGGTCATCGAGTCCAACCCAGCCCTAATACCTCAACAAAACCATGGCACTGAGTGCCACATCCAGTCTTTTTTTAAACACATCCAGGGATGGTGACTCCACCACCTCCTTGGGCAGACCATTCCAGTACTTTATCACTTTCCATAAAGAACTTTTTCCTAATATCCTACCTATATTTCCCTTGGTGCAACTTGAGACTGTGTCCTCTGTTCTGTCAGCTGCTGCCTGGAGAAAGAGACCAACCCCACCTGCCCACAGCCACCTTTCAGGGAGTGATGAGGTCACCTCTGAGTCTCCTTTTCTCCAGGTTAAACAACCCCAGCTCCCTCAGCTGTTCCTCACAGGGTTTGTGTTCCCAGCCCCTCACCAGCCTTGTTGCCTCCTCTGGATGTGCTCAAGTGTCTCATCATCCTTCCCAAACTGAGGGCCCAGAACTGGACACAGCACTCAGGTGTGGCCTCACCAGGGCTGAGTAGAGGGGAAGAATGACCTCCCTACTGCTGGCCACACTATTCCTGATACAGGCCAGGGACCATTGGCCTTCTTGGCCACCAGGGCACACTGCTGGCTCGTCACCAGCACCCCCAGGTCCCTTTCTGCCTGAGCACTGATGATGGGGAGCAGGACACCCCCAAACGCCCCGGTGCCCTGCTCCAGTCCCGAGAGAGCAAACTGGCTGGAGTGGGGAGAGGAGCTTGCAGCACAGACCTGGCGTGACTGGGGAGCTGGAGGTGGATCAAAGTGACCTGCACAGGTCCCCAGCTCTCCTGTGCTGATGGAGAGCACAGCACAGCCCGCCGGGGGCCAGGGCTGGGAGTAGGGCTGATTGTGGGGCTGAGGCAGAGAAAAGCCAAGGCTCTGGCAACAGCTGATGCTGCACATCCCTTCTGTGCCTTCCTCCTGGCCCACACTCAGCCTCTTCCTGACACCTAGTGGGAGCAGGGCAACACGGCAAAGGGATCCTTGTCAGCTCCAGACTCCCGGGCACATGCCAGCCACAGGTTGGGCACAAGGCCTGGGCTGCCAGAGCCACCAAAAGAGCTGGAACCAGCCATAGCTCACAGCTGGGCTTCATCAGGGCACAGCTGCTCCTGTAGAGCATTGCTGGGGGGGAATTCAAGGTATAATTCCTCAGGGAAGGAGTTATTAATGGGTCAGCAGGGATACTGCTCTGAGGTGTGGGATCTGTTTAGGGTTATCTGCCATATCAGACCTCTTGAGCCCTCTCCCTCTCTTGCTGCAGCTGTTCCATGTCCCCAGGAAAGGTGCACAGCACAGCTGGGCAGTTCCCTTCTTGTCCTTGATTTTGGATGGCACCTTTGGGAAGCAGAGGGAAGAGGTGAGATGGGAGCAAGAGACAGGTGAGAGCTGTCCCAGCAGGACATCATCTTCCATCCAGGACCACCCTCTCATGCAGCCCATGCACATCTCCCTGGATCATCTCTCATCCCTGATGCCAAAAGCTAACCTACCCCCAGCTCCCAGGCCTCTGCCCATGGCTGCAAAGGCAGGACAGGGACAGATGCTGGCCACAGCATTTGGGGACATTGCCTCCAGGGTCATCCCACACTGGTCAGCATCTCTACTGGACTGATCTCCCATCCCATCCTTGCCCACAGCCTTTAGCTGCAATGACAGGCAGGAGCTCATTCCTCCTGTCTTGTTCCACACACATTCTGCAAGCAAAACCACTTTTTTTCTTCCCCTTGTTGCCATCTGCACCTGCTGGACTGTGATCACTGTGCCTAGCTTGCTGTCTGAAGATCAGGGTGTCACCTCTCCACATGTCCCCAAATCTCCCTGGGAATGCCCAAGCACTTTTATTAATGAGCAGATAAAAGTTAAAACACCAGCAAGAGAACAACAACAACAAAGGTCTTTATTTCAATGACCTGAAAGAAAATGTAATTCCAAGAGCAAAGATAGTAATAAAAACCACAAAGGTGCTCCAAGCAAACTGGAGCGATTTGCACAGATCCCTTCCCAAAGCAGCTGGGCTGAGGTGGCTCTGGTCCCTGGCTCCTCCCCAGTGTGACAGGGTGCAGAGCCACACTTCTCCCTGCACGCCCCCCATGCCAACCCCTTACTGGAGGGACCCACAGGGACCTCTCAACCCTGAGGAAATGGCAGCTCAGGAGGTAGGTGAGTGGCCTGGGGTGGGGATGTCACTGGGTGAGCCCACACTGGCCCTGGGGAAAAGAAAGGCACTTCCTGAACTTTAGTGTCATCCTGCCCTGGGACTGCAAAGCATCCCTTCATCACCTACCCCAGCCCATGCCAGTGTGACATCCCAGGGATGTGGCTCCTTGGGAGTTGTGGTGCTCCTGGGCCAGCACCACAGCTCAAAGGTCAAGCAGCAAATCCAGCTCTGAGCTGCCCTGTGCTCACAGAGGTTCCTGGGGAGCAAGCCCTCAGTTCCTGACTGTCGCTCCAGGGAGGCACTTTGATGGACAGGAGGGACAGGGACTTCTCACTCCTGGAGACACAAGGACAGGGAAAGGTGGTGGCCCTGAGCAGGGACCTCTCTGGAGCTATACCCAGTCTCCCACCCCAGGCTCAGCCCAGCAATACCTGCAGTAAGGATCACTGCCCTGATTTTATCTCCCCCACACACATCCAACAGCTCTCTGAGGGGGTGTGGTGCCTTTGGGAAATGCAGGGATAAAATTCCAGAAGCAATGTTAATCCAATAACTAAGTGGATGTCACTCCTAGAATTGAACCCAAAGCCACTGAAATTATGGATGAAAGACAAAAACCCCAAATCTTCAGGATTTCCATGGAGGCCTGGTCTTTCCAGAGAGTCTTTGCCCTGTGTCTAGAGACAAGCACTGGCTCCCCCTGCATCCCTTTGACTTCACTGTGCTTTTTTGGGGATCCTGAACTATTCTGGGTCCCAAGTGCAAGGGCCCAGCCGAGATCCTGATTTCTCCTGAGAAGGCAGAAAGTCCACAAGAAACACACAACAGGGGGAAATTACATTAGTCAAGGAGCAGAAAGTCACACAACAAAACTTCCAGATTAAACTTCCCTGTGCTGTCAGCTCCTCCCAGCCCCCAGATCCGACCCTTTAATCTGAACCCAGGCAGGGTCAGCAACAGTAGGGGGAAAAGCACCAAAGCTGACGAAATCCCCTCTCCCACGTCCCCTCAGAGCACTGGAGCTTGCAGTGAGGGGAGTGACTGGTGGCAGTGTCCAGGGGATGTCTGGACCTGAGAGCATTCAAAGAGAACCATCTCCTCACCACGTGGCCATGGAGGTGGTTAGGAGCAAGACCAGGAGTTTCAGATTGTTTAATTTAACCTTTCCTCTTGTTCAAACACAAAACTAAGTCAAAGCTGTAAGCAGTGGCAGAACAGTCAGCTCCCAAGGCTGGGGGACACCACTGGAATTTCTCTGCTTCCCCAGTGCCACCTCTCCCCAGCTTCTAAATTTCCTGCATGAATCAGGATCATCTACCAAATTATCTACTAAATTATCCTTCAAAGTGGAAGAACCAAAACGGAAGCAATCCCTGCACTCAGTCCTCTCCCTAAAGAGAACCCTCCTCAGCACAGAAGCCACTCCGCAAGCGATTTTGGCTCTGGAGACACAAGCCAGCTCTGCGTGCCACTGTCCCCTTTGGTGGCACAGCAGTGGCACCAGGCAGCTCGCGGAGGTGGCACGGACGGCACAGCCGGGCACAGCGCGCCCAGCTCATCGCTGAGGTCACGTTTCTGGGGCTTGGGGCGGCTCAAACTACACACAAACCGTGGTAGCAACACACAGAGAAAGCCGAGGGTGGAGGCGAGCCCGAGGGAGGGCAGGGCGGGCTCAGACGCGGCCCCGGGGGCTGCGCTCGGGCAGGAGGTGGCGGGGAGGGGGCTGCTGCAGCAGGGCCGTGAGGATGTGCTGCAGCTGCGACAGGCGGGCGCGCAGCGATGTGCAGGAGAACAGGTTCAGCTGGTAGGACGGGTCCAGGGGCAGGATGGAGATGAGCCACCAGCACCACGTCGGGCCGTCTGCTGAAGCCTGGAGAGGAGAGAGGGAGAGACCCCCACGTCAGGGCAGGGGTGGCCTGCAGGCAGCATCGCCGATGGGAAATTCCTGTCAGGACAGCACCGCCAGCCTTGGCCAAGGTACTCATCTGAACAGCCCTTTCGTCATCCAAGCTCAAAACTGCTGGACAAACTAATTTAATTTCCAGGCAAGCATTCCCCAGGGAGCCTCCAGACACAGATGTAGCTGGTAAAAAGTCTATACTAAAGAGACAATGAAATATCTCGCGCATTTCCTTGTTTAAGCCGGTGCTTTTTGTAAACACAGGCCAAATCCTGCATGGCCAATGTTTTTGGAACACTGGCCATCATTTGAAGAGGTGAGGTGCAGGCCAGGAGGGCACAGCTGTTGGGCACTGCTTTTGTAAAGTGGCTGTTTTATAACCTGAGGCAAACTAAGAAGGAAAAACTCAGTTCAGCTGAAGGAGGCTGAGTGTTTTGTAACTCCTGAGCACATCATTAACATGACTGCTGGCCAGGACAGCCTGAGCCTGGGACAAGTCAGCAAGAGTATATTTGTAATGATCCAGACAGGAAACACTTTCTTAAAGGAGTGAAAATTAGATTTTGGGATTTTTTTTCTCCTACAGAATCTGAATTTGTCAGAGCAGTATAATAAGCAAATTGAATCCTGTCCTCTTAGCTCTTCACCTCTGCCCAGCTATGGCTGTCTCAAAGGATCACAGTGAGAAAGGAGACTGCAGACTCAACAAGCTGCAGGGGCAGAGCTTGCCTCTTTGCCAATTTGTTTGGTTTCTTTTTCCCAAAGTGTTTTCAAACACAGAGTTCAGTTTCTGAGTTCTCATTTAGAAAAAGACCCTGTGAAAGATTTTAGAACTCAGTGCTCAGTTTCCAGTTTAAAACCACAAAGAAACATCACGCAGCTTTACAAGACAAGCCCTACCAACTCTCTGCATGAGATGCTGTAACAGGGGTGAAAAACTGGATTTGTTTTGTTCATTCTGGGGAGAAGCTGAGTAGGGAAGCAGGGTGGTTAGTGCAGAACAGCGCTGCTTCAGAGGCTCTCTTGGTACTCTGTTTGGTGCATCCCTTCCCTCTGGGCATTACCTGGATGTCCTCTTCCTTCTCTGGCAGCGGTCCATGCTGCATCAGAATGTGCCTGGAGGTGAGGTCTCCGTGCTCACAGAACCGCTGGGCCAGGCGATAGGTGCTCTCATGCAGGCACTGCAGCTCCTGCAGCTCCTCCCCGGACACCTGAACGGAGGCAAGAGGGACACAGGTGTCCGTGGGGAGGATCTGTCCCACTGCAGCCCAGGATTTTGCCCAGCCCTGCCCTCACCTTCCTGTCCTCCAGGTACTCGATGTCAGCGGTGTGGTAGCCGTCCCTGTGCCCGCGGCTCAGCACCCGGAACCGCTGCCGGCCGATGGTGTCCACCAAGGAGCGCCCGTCCGCCAGCAGCTCCACCTGACGGATCTCCAGCATGCAGCCATAGTCAGCAAAGCTGCAGGGACACAGAAAACAGGGGCTGAGCTGGGGTAATGGGTGGCAAGAGAGCTGCTTCTCCTAAAGGTACCATCTCCAAAGCAGGAAAAGGCCCAGGAACAAGATGTCTGGGCAGGGGCAAATTCAGAGATTCAATCAGGTCTCCCTGTGGTGCTCATTAAGAGGAGCTGGAGGTCACAGCCAGAGAACCATGGAGCTCAGAGACATCCTGAGTCAGAAGCTGTTCAAGAATGTTGTATTTAACAGCCACCACTGGCTCTGTGCAGCTCCAGTGCTGGCCTCATTCCTTGATCCCATTTCACTCTGCAGTGTGGGGAATGCACCACCTCCCTGCTGATTTCATCTGTGAGATGGCACTGATAGGAAATCTCTCTGACTTACTCAATATTTTAGATATTTGAGGCTGAGGCAGAGAGGGGCAAATCAGCTGGGGCAGGAGCCCAGGAGCTCACCTTTTCCCATTCTCAAATATGCACATGCCAAACCTCCTGGTGCCGCTCTCCTGGCACCGCCGGATCATCAGGCGGTACCGAGGCTCGAAGATGTGCAGAGGGCAGGGGATGCCAGGGAAGGACATTGTGCACACAAAGATGGGGATGTTCTTGGTCAGGCTGAGGGACAGAAGGAGAAACCACTGTGATGCCTCTCCAAGCAAATCCCATCCCAATGGCTCTGCATCCCCCAAACCAGGGGTGTTCTTCACCACAAGAAGTGATGTCCAGTGCAGAGCAACACTAAAGTTCCACTTGGCTCACCAAGAGACCAAAGACAGATCCTGCCCACAAAACCTCCTTGCAAAGATTGTCCCTCAATCCACCCCCAAGTGCCCCATAGGGCATTCCACACCCACCCAGCACTGCTGCAATATGGTCCTGGAGGTGGGACAGACATCATTTGAGCAGAACTAAACCGGAGCAATGGTATGGGGTGTGGACAGCCCTCCCAGAGTGCCTCCCAATCCCCATGTGCGCACACACACACACACAGGAGCAGTCCCTGCTTACTTGGAGAGCTCTGCCATCTCTGCCCGGTGCAGCTCCCGGCGCTCAGCCAGCTGTGTGGGGAAGGTGGCCAGCATGATGTCCTGCAGCAGCACCGTGGGGCTGTACCTCCCAGCCTTCAGGTACTGAAAGGAATTAGACACAAAAATAGGTTGGAGAAGAGCAGGGAGGAAGCCCTGGATCCCTGCTGGACTCTGAATCACACTCACTTTTATTGGAACTGAAGGCAATTTTAGACCAGAGGAAGTCAAGGATAAAATCTATTGGGGGATGTTGAGCCATCGAGCAGGATGGGATGTCAGCTCCACCGAGACCTCCAGACACAGCTCAGAGCCAGGGCCCGTCCAACACAGCGTCCTGTCTCTGACAGTGATGCAGTCCTTGTATGACAACCTAATTTCCCTGATGGTCTCATCTGAATCCCTTTTCATTAAAGATTAAATCAAATCTCCAGGCTAGCAGGTTTTCCATCCATTTCCATTTTTTAAAGCAATTAGCATTTGCTTCTCTCTCTCTCTCTCTCTCTTCTCCTGTTTACAATCTCACTAAATCACTGTGGCATCTTGTGGAAATGAATCTCTTGGTCTTAATTATCAACTGTCTGGTCATTCCCATGTGAGTGGAGCTGACATCGCCGTGCCAGGGAGCTGCTAATGTAAGAGCATTGCACCTTCCCACCCCAGCCCTGGGCAGGCAGCCAGCAGCTGGAGCTGCTTCCCAGCTCTCCCCTGGGCTCCATCCCGTGGGACTCGTGCCCTCACCTCTCTCAGGCTCTGTTTGCAGAGGGGGCAGTTGGGCCGGTGGTCCAGGCAGCGTTCGAGGCACTCTTTGCAGAAGGTGTGACCACAGGGCGTCGTCACCGGCTCGAAAAACATCCTGCAAAGGATGATCAGAGTCAATGGATTGCAGAGAGCAACAAAGGGAAAGGAGCACAGATAAGTCTGCCAGAGAGAGACTTTAATTAGCCCTTTAATTAGAAAGTCTGGGCTCAGACTGCTGGGCTTGCATAATGAGATGAGAACTGTTCCAGGCCTGAGCTCTGCTCCCCCTCTCTGCAGGGTCTCCATGGAATCTCAGCAGATCCCATCTGTACACACATGGCACCCCTTGGTCCTGCCAGGGCTGTGGTTCCCCAGACACCCCCAGTGATGTGTAATCCAAAGGAAAATGTTTCCTTTTCCCCTGCTCCAGGAGCAGAGCCAGCAGCAAGCACTCAAATTGCTCACAGGTAGCTCCAGGATCAGAAATGAAATTAAGGTCTCAAGAAAGCCCTGACTCCTCCTAAACACGGTTTTCTTCTTTCAGAAGAGACCCAAATTCACATAATTCAGATCAGATGCAGCCTCAATCTCTCTCCCCCATGCACAGACCTGGAAAAAGCTGCTGTGCAGGACCTTGAGTGACTTACACATCTGGCAGTGCAACACCCACCCAGCTCTCTGCCAGCAGCCACTTGCACAACTGCTCCACGTCCTGGGACACACCAGGATTAACAGCCCTGTTTCAGCATGCCCTGTGGCACTGCAACACCAGCCCCTCCCCATCCCTGAGCTGGCAGACAAATACAGACTCTACCCCATTCCCTTCTCCACCTGCACCAGGAAAAGAGCTCAGAAATGCTCCCCTCTAGGTCTGCAATATCCCCTTCATGGAGGGAATTTCCCTGAGCAACACCTTCCTGCCCCAGCCTGCAGGTACAAAGGGCAACCACTGCTTTTGGTCTTTGACCCCCACTGAACATCCCCACCTCCACAGCTGTGTCCCTGGGGACAGCCCCAGTGATGCTGCACCCTGAGACAGGGTGATCTGAGCTCCTGCAGCCTGGCAGGGAACTCCATGCCCCTGCCTTTCCCTCTTATCTCTACCAAAACCTACATCTCAGCAGTACTCAGGACTGAGCTTGCTGTTAAGATGTGTAGAAAGACACACATCACTGAAGAAAACCCAGCAGGTTCTAATTCTTCATCCTAAAAGCTATCCTGTTGGAGAACTCACCGTATGCAGAGGGAGCACTCCAAGTCAGATATGCTCAGTGACTCCCTGAGGCATGGCTGGGTACACTTTGCTGCTGTTGTTTCTTCCTCTTTATCTATAGTGGCAGAAGAGAAGACAACCCCAATTTTAACATAGAAAATTTATCTTTGCTTTCTGACCTCGTTCTGAGACACAACTGCCCCACAAAGTGCTTTCAAAGTGTCAAAGAAAAACAAAACCACTAAGAAATGCAACATAAACCCCTCTATTAATCCATCCATGTTCATCCATAGCTGGTGAGTCAGTGGGTCTCATGATGCTTGGCAGAGGAAGGTGGTGCCTCCTCCTTTTACAGACAGGGAATCTGAGGCACTGGGCAGCAAAGTGGCCCAAAAGCTCCAGGATGGAAGTCTCTGGAGACCTGCCATGAGCCATCACTGCTTTATGCAAACCCAGGTATGTGGCAGCCACCTGGCTGGATGGCAAGTTAATGCTGACGGAGGTGCTGCTTCCCCAGCTCATGGCATGTCGTGTCCCCCACATGGAAATTTAATCTAAACCAAAACCCACCTAAACCCATGGCAACCAAAGAAAGCCTCTCCCTGACTCCACACGGGGAGCAAGTGATGACTGACTTCAGCAAGAACTTGTCACCAAGCTGGAGCCAAAGGTTTGGTGTAAGTTCACCAGCTCAACACAGGAAGATCAGGTGGATCCTCCCCACGTGTATGAGAAGCAGCAAATGTCCTGGCCAGAGCTGCCCCATCACGAGCCCCTGGGATATTTGTTTGTTGAGCTGGACACTGTGCAAACACCAAGTTTTCAGTGGCCAAAATGGATTTCAAACAAGTATTTTGCATGACACAACCTTGTTGAAAACATTTGTGGTACCTTTGATGACACTCACCCAACAACCACCGGCCCTGACTCTCTGCCGAAGTCTCCGGTTCTTGCCGTTGTCCCGGCTGGGAAAGGGTGGCTGTGCCCTGGCTGTGCTCAGACCCAACATCCCCTCGGCCATCTGCCAGCTCTCCCTCCTGATCCTAGGCACAGCAAGATGAAATTGAGCCCAAACCCTCTTCTCCCTCTGAATGCACAGTCCTGTCTGTGCCACCAAGCCCGATGGCACCGGGAGGTTTCCCCGTGTACATTAACAGCTGGCATCTGCAGGACAGCAAGAGCATGGCCTTCAGACATTGCTGCCCATCACATGTTAAAACATGGGTTCACTCTGGCCAGACATACCAACTGATCTTTAGGTGTATCTGAGCCCATCTTCTGAATTCCCTCTTCTCTCCAAACCTTTTAAGTTTGTTTATAGAAGGCAAAGAAGAAAATACAAGCTTCCCTTATCAGCTGCTAATAGTCTGAACTATTCTCAAATGTGGTTTTTAGATGAAAAAAAAGTTTAAGATTTTTTTTCCCCCCTGAATGTAGTGAGATGAACAGAAGGAGAAAGTCTCCTCTGTTTCCCTAGTCCCCACAGCATCAGCCCTGATGGTACCTGCAGATTTTCATCCCAGCACACAACCAGGTAAGCATGGCTGCATGTCCTGCACAACCTTCCCTTATCACACCTCCATTCCCAACAGGCAGGTCCCAGAGGGACATTAAACCTCCTTGCAGACTCAGATATTGCAGGCTCTTACCTGAGCTTGTGTGGAAGATGGGAGCACTGGGCTCCCTCCATCAACCTGGGAACCAGCTGAGCTCAGGTGAGCATCACCCAGCTGTGCAGCCGTGCATGGCTGAGGAGCATTGGCTTCCATGACAATCTGCAAGGACAAAGCAGGCATTAAGGGATGCTAGGAGCAAAAAGCAAGGAGGTGAGAGGGCTGCCAAGCTCCCTCTTTTTCCCCAAAGCATCCTTCTGCCCAGGAGGTGTCTGTGCTGGCTGAGGACTCTGATGAGTCCTTCAGAGGACAGGGACATCCCCCTGTGTGATGAGAGCACAGGAACATGGCAGAGCCCACCCACCTTCTCCATCTCCCTCCGAACTGGCTGGAAATGGGGACTGAGCGTCAGGCAGTGTTCCCACGCCAGCAGGGCTTCGGCTCTCTGCCCCATCTCCAGGAGCACCTTCCCTTTCCTGAAGAAGGCCTGCAGAGCAGAATAAACATGTGGTGACTATGAGACAGTGACCAGCTGAGCGTGTGCCCCTTCAGCTCCTCTGCCAGCCCCAAGGGAATGTCCCTTTGCCTCCTGCCAGCTCCCATCCCAAGCCAAAGCACCCGGACATGTCACTGCTCCCCTGATTAGATCTGCCTAAAAAAGCCAGGACCCTCCAAAGTGCAGCAATTGCAAAAGCCAAGCCTAGGGAGAGTTGAAGAAGGAGTGAAAGATGGACATGGTGCCACACTTCTCCTGTGAGAGCAACACAGCACCTGCCACTTTGATTAGCAACACGATGGGTCTGTCAAGTGCAATTCTGAGCAGGATGGAGACTCGAGGAGAGGGGGAAATTGCTCCTGTGCAGTAAGATTTGGCTCCAGTCGATGTGGCCTTCACTCACCTCGTGCTCTCCAGGCTCAGCCCTGCACACGGCATCCAGGTCCTCCAGTGCCTGTGGATACTGCCCCAGGGCCAGCAAGGCCTCTGCCCGGCACAGCCGCAGGGAGCTGGAGTCCAGGGCTGGAAAGAGAAATGTGGTCACCCCTGAGATGAGCCCTGGTGAGACAGTGGGGCTGGATGAGGCTGGGGAGAGGCCACCACAGTGGGACAGTCCCTGTGCCACTGCCTCACACTGAGCACGGCCTGGTCCTTCAGTGCTCTTCATCAGGACACACTGGCTTTGTAAGCCTCTGCAAGTAAGTTATTTCCCCTAAATACCCAGTTTAAAATTGTTTGAGGCTCTTTCCTTTTGTTTTTTTTCACCCATCTTCCCTAAACACCCTCAGCCAAGAGGTTCCACCACTGCCTCAGGGCTCAGCCATGCTGGGATCTGGGCTTTCATCCATCTCTTTGGGATGCAGCAGAAAGGCTCTACCATACACGTAGTCCTTACAGGGCTGTGGCCACAGCAGGCTCTGTGGAGTGACTCACCCAGCAGAGTCACAATAACACGTTACCAAACAGGACTGCAGTGCTGGATACCTGAATTCCCAGACCCACCTGGCTGTCACTGCTCTCCTGGGGCAGATGAGAAACCAAGGCAAGAATCTGCCTGCACCACATGACTTGGGGTTTCCAAGTATGAAAAAAAGGCTGAGATTTCCCAAAACTGAGGAAGAGAACTGAGGATCCAGCTCCTTGTCAGCAACATGTCACTGATGGGACATCAGGGTGCTGGGGGGGCACAGGTCCCACAGACATTGCTAATCATGACACCAAGCATTTCATGCTCCTGCCTTTTCCTAAAAAATTGGCAGTGAGATCCTCTTCTTTCCTGCCTTGGAAAACCACATAAAGACCTTTCTTCCTATCAGGAAGAGCCCACACTAGTGGAGTAACCAGGTGTGGTAATGTTTGTAGGTTTGAAATACAGAGGTGCCCAGATCCACCCCATTATATCACAGCTCATGGAGGTGACCTACATCTAGTGCAGTGCTGGTGTTCCAGCTCAGATAACAGGTCTGTGCATCTAGCCCTGCATCCTCCCAGCTCTGAGCATCAGCTCAAAGCTGCTGAGGGTTGGGGACTTGTTGCTCCCTGGTCCATTTGGGGAGGCCTCCAGTGTCATGCAGGTCCTCCCATTGGATCCCAGCTCCCTGTGGGATGATGGTAGATCCAGCACAGGTTACATGTGCTGACCCTGCAGGATACTGGCATTGAGGCCAGCCTTGTATCATAAATTAAGGCACCATTTGCAGACACTGCTGCTGCATTTACTGTGGCAAATGTGGTGTGGGCAATGTCACCTTGCTGAAGGGCCAGGAGCTCTGTCAGGGGCAAGCTGGGTCCATGGGCCTGGCTGGCAGCTGATCAGCAGTCATCAGGAAACATCACTGTTGATGATGTCTCTCCTGCACTTCCAAACCCAGCAGCATTTCCTCCTGCCCCGGTTCAAACACGGTGCTGATGCAGCTCTGCCAGCAACCTGCAGGTCAGGACCGGCAGCTCCATGACAACCAGGTGCAGGGAGCATCTGCCCATTTCCCTGCCTGCCTCTGCTTTCACCCTGCCCAGGCACCCACCACTTCTTATCACACAGGAGGAAACTCTGCCATGGCTATGGCCTCCTCGTCCCTGTGCCCAGCACAGAGCACAGCAAGACTTTGCTCCCTGCCTGGTGTCACCCTAACCCAGAGGGCAGCACCGCCAGGCACAGCCACTCCTGCACCAGAGCTGGTATTATAAAGGAGAACAAACTCCCAGGGACCAGGTGTTGCTCTGCTGCACCCCTCAGCATGGCCACTCCTGCACCAAAAGCTGCACTGGCCATGCTGAGCTGTGCAGCAGATCAACACCTGGTCCCTGGGAGTTTGTTCCCCTTTATAATATCAGCCAATATTAGAGCTGAAGTCGGGAAGCATGGCAACTTGCTGTCCCGTCCCACAGTCACCCATCCAGAGATTAAATATCCCAGCCCTTACAACGAGTAGGGATGTACAAATAGGTACAAAGTCTAGAGTCTTATTTTCCATGTAGGCAAACCCACTCAAACATTCGCACAGCCCAGCAATAAAGCAACTGATTTGGCAAAAAAAAAAACCCCACCCCAGATGTGTAAAACAGAGCAATGAATTCTGCACTTCCCTGCTGCTGCAGCTATTTTTTATCTATGATATCATTACACACCAGGGCCATCAGCCAGCTGGCAGCCTGAGACTCGCCAGCCTCCAGGCTCCAGGCATGTCAGAGGGCCTCCTGTGCTACGCATTACAGCACATTTTTCTGTTGTTCACTCAGAAAGAATGAAGATAAAAAATTTACAGTTTCTTTCCACCCAAGCAAAGCGAGCTGCTCTACAGTGGAGGCTGAGCTGGGCACTGCAAACTGGCCTATCACACCACTCTGAAGCACAAATAAAACATCCCCATGGGTCAAACATTTATCAGTGGCTCCGTTTCAAAGTGAAAGGCAGCCCGTAAAAAATTGTGCAGCTGAAAGCTGGCTGCAGGAGTTGGAAAACACATCCTGAAAGCACCACCCACGTGGCTGAGCCTGGCAGCCCCAGCAAGCACAGATTCACTGGAGCTGAGGCTGTGACTGCAATTTCCTTGTTGCCCTCAGCCAGACTTTCCTGTCTTTCGGGGAACAGAACGTGCAGGGAAGAGTGAGGACACAGTCTGCAATGTTTCCTCTTTATACTTACAAAGGGTTTTTAAAGAAATGTGTAATTGTACACCCCAATCAGGCAAAAGCCTGGCAAATGAGTACTAGAGAAGTGTGCATGTGCCTTTACTCTGAAGAAGGGTGTGCAAGGAGAGACGGACGCCTCTGGAGGTTGCATAAAAGGACCTGTTTTCTGCTGCCAACACCAGGATGGACCGGTTCGCTCAGCCCTTCGTTTCCAGGCTTACCCTGAACCTCTGGCACTTGCCTCGCAGCAAGCGATGAATAAGAGCCTGCGCTGCGGGAGGAGAGCTCAGTGCTGTCATAGAAACGCCGCGGAGAAAGGAAATTCTCCCTCCGTCTCCCCAGCCCCCTGCTCCAGACGCATTGTATAACCCCTTTTATTTAAGTATTACTTTCCAAGAAATCCACTTACAGCCACACATTAAAGCAGATCAAACCCTACCCCCCCGATCCTGGCCCGATCCTGGCCCTGCAGGGAAATGTCTGGCCAGAGCCGGCTGCAGAAGGAGCCGGGCCGGGCGCTGACCCGCACGGTGGGGCTGGCACAGGAGCTCGGCCAAGGCTGTGTCCTCGCCAGGCTCTGGCCCTGGGGGAGAGGACGTGTCCATCCCCGACTGGACAAGTCCCAACCACTTTACATAACAGCCGCCCCCTGGGCAGAGCTCTTCCTCCGACCCTGAAACGCTGCCGGGCTGCCAGATGGGACTGACTGTCCGCTGCCCTGTCCTCTCCTGTACCAGCACGTGGCCGATGGGACACAGGCGGCACGCCCCGGGCAGGGGATGAGCAGCGCGGTTTGCCGGGCAGCTCCCAGCACCTCGGGATCTCCACGGATGTGGCAGAAATGCCCAGCAGCTGCCTTCCCCCTTCCCATCGCCATCCCCATCCCCACCAGCCCTGCCTTACGACACTTCCAGCTTCTCACGTTTTCCATCTCCGGACCGTGCAGGCTTGGAGCGCCCTGATCTGCGGGGACACGGTGACCTACATTGGCACCCACATCGGTACTCACCTGCTGCAACAGCCCGGCATCCCGTGCATCCCCGTCTCTCGGGCTGCTGGGCTGGCCCCTGGCCCCCCGCAGCACCACCCGCACCCCCAGCCCCCGAGCCCGGTGGTCCTTACCCAGCTCGACCCCTCTCTGCGCCATCCTCAGCGCCTCCCGCGCGTCCCCGCGGGCGAGGCGCTCCCGGACGCGCTCCGCCAGCCCGGCCAGCCGCCGCTCCCGCGGCACGCATCGCTCCACGATCCCGCACAGCACCACGCTGCACCTCACCGCCCCGACGCCCAGCAGCTCCAGCCGCTCCTGGCACAGCGGGCAGCGGGACGGCCCGGCCCCGCCGAGGCACGGCTTGCAGAAGGAGTGACCGCAGGACGCGGTCACCGGCTCCCAGAGGAGCAGGCGGCAGCAGGGGCAGCGCAGCAGGTCCAACCCGAGGGGCTGCCCGGAAGGGCTCTCCCCGGGGCCCGGGGAGCTCGGGCTGGAGGGGCCGCTCATGGCGACACTCGGGGGAGCCGTCCCTAGGGCCGGCGGTGTCCGCGCATTGCCCCGCGCATTGCCCCGCACCGCTCCCGGCCCGGCGGAGGCTGCGGCTGCGGGCCCGGCCCGGCCCGGCCCGCCGGAGGGACCCCGGGCAGGGCCGGTGGCGGGGCTGCCCCGACCGCCATTGGCCGCCGCCGCCCGCGCCGCCCCGCCCCGGCCGCGTTTCGTAACGGAGCCCGCGGGAACGGGGGGTGGTGTGGGGGGATAGGGGATCCGTGTGCGGGGATCGATGTGTGGGATCGGTGTGCGGGGATCGGTGTGCGGGGATCCGTGTGCGGGGATCGG